TGATCTTGTTGCTCTTTTCATGCGGATTCTTTTCAAGGCTTGTGGCCCAAGTCGTGTTTTGGAGGATTTCTTGTTAGTCTTTTTTCGCTGTGCGGTCCCGGTTGGGCTCTTTTAATGTGTGATCTTCGTTTCAAAGAACTCAGCAACAGCGGTCACGAAGGGCATTTTGCTGCAGCATCAACGCTTCTTAAATACCAAATTGTGTTGCCAATGCATGCGCTTCTCCTTGTTCGCTTGCAAGTTCCTTTGTGGCTTTAGGTTGAGGTGGTTTAGAGTCACTCATGCCCTGGCTTGGCAGAAGCCCTATACACCCTAAACACTAAAACCCTAAACCCGAAACCCTAAACCCTAAACCCTAAACCCTAAACCCTAAACCCTAAACCCTAAACCCTACACACTAAACCCCCAGCCACAAAAATCACTTCGAGCCCTGGGTTTCCTAGAACCTTAGACCCGGAACCCTATTGCTGTCATTGTGGTTGTTATTTTTTGTTCTTAGTATTATTATTATTATTATTACTATTACGAGTACTATTATTATTATTATTATTATTATGATTATTATGATTATTATTATGACTAGTATAATAATAATAATAATTATTATTATTCGTACGATTATTATTAGTATTAGTATAATAATAATTATGATTATCATTCGATACTTATTATTGTTATTATTGCTGGCGTCCCAAATTTGCTCGGGGCAAGGTCGAAGGCCCTGCATTTGGACATCCGTGGCAGGGTTTAGGAATGGAATATAAGTAGGTTGTAGCTTGTGCAAGAGTGTTTTTGGTGTCCACCGGCTCAAACTAGCCTAAACCCTAAACCCTAAACCCTAAACCCTAAACCCTAAACCCGAAACCCTAAAACCCTAAAGCCCTTAAACCGCTTCAGAACCTAGAAGCCTCGAAGATCGCCCCTGGACCTTCCAAAAGGGCCCAAGTCTCCCGGCGCAGGAGACGGCCGAGAGGAAGCGCAAGGCACGGGCTCAGTTTTCTTATTTGTTTTTTTGTTCTTCTTCTTGTGATTGTAATATTTCTCATTCTCAGTATTATTCTTATTATTGCTATTCTTCTTCTTCTTCGTACTATTACTACAATTGTTATTTCTACTATTCATATTATTCGTCTTCTTCTTCTCATCCTTCTTATTGTTATTGTTATTGTTGTTGTTACTGCTGTTATTGTTGTTATTGCTGTTGTTATGATTGTCAGTATTCTTCTTCTTCTTGTTGATGATGCGGTCCTTTATCATCATCAGATGAGAATCGCACTTGAGTGCTTAGGGTGCTAGGGTTGGGGACACACTTCTGCTGCGGCGAGCTAAGAAAGACTGCATGCCAGGCTCTGCAGTCACCGCATCCCTAGCAGGGGGGTTCAGTGGCGCCTCCGCGTCATGGAAGCAGGGCCTTGGATTCAGCCATGCAACACGCCGTCCGGCCCAAGCTCGCCTTGTGATCACGCAGACGCCCGCGCGCGGCAACCCTTTTCAGACGCCTCTTTTCGAGCCATGGCCTTGCCAATGAAGACCGCCATGAAGAAGGCTTCCCTGCACACCTACAGTAAGGCTTGAAGCCCTTAAAATTAAACCAAAAAGCCCTGTGTGCCCGTCTACAATGATTCTCGGAGCGGGAACCCAGCACTCAAGTCTTAATGATTATCAAAGGTAGAAGGTTCCAGCCCCAGAGTTACATGGCACGGTTTTTTGGGGCTTATTTAACTTACTAGCTCCTGATTTTTGGGGTCCCGAGATCAGGTTCCTAGGGGACTGGTGTGGTTTCTTGATGGTACGGTTTCGATGTTGGGTTCTGAATGGCTTGGAAACAGGCTTCTTGCCTCGGAGAAACTATCATTTTTTCCTATCTTAACCTTGGATTCCTTGCTAGATCTACTGCATGAACTTGTTGAACAAATCCGCACAAGACACCTAGCCACAAGCTTCATAGGCTGGCTTCGGGTCCCAGATCTTTGGTTCTGAGCCAGAATCTTCGAGGCCATGAAGGGAAGCGCTATGAAGGCCAAGGCCATGAAGAAGCCCATGAAGGAGGGGCTTGGCGTTGTGGGAATATGGGGTTTGCGGCCTTATGCCCGAAAACAAGATGTGCCTGTGAGATGCATCCTCTACTTACTAGGCATCATGTTACGGGGTTCCAATGTGGGGAGCTTGGGGCTCATGCAGGCCTGCCCAGACGGGAAGATTTAATCCTCATTCCAATTGCGGTTGTTGGGGTTTAGGCTCCCTTATAAGGCTTCTTAAGCAACAGCGAGTACCCTGTGGATCCAGCAAGCCTTCATCAGGCAATGAAGAAGAAGGCTGTGTCGAAGATCGCTACGGGCCGGCTTGCGAAGTCTCGAGTCTTCAATGGCGCGAAGGCGGGGACGGCTGAGAGCTCACGGTTCTGATGCAGACACGAGTCGCAGCACACGCAACATTCGTGATGTCTCTCATCTTCTAGCAAAGCAGCTTCCGGAGGAACGATCAGAAACCTCATCGCATGTCATAGCAGCTAGCGGTTTAGGCCCGGGCAAAAACCTCTAGTTCAGCCTCGCCTCGCCCGATCCAGGAGAAGACTACCGGTGGTCTGCAGAAGGCCAACCTGATGAAGAACAAGCGCGGCAAGGTCGTCAGCAAGAAGATGCACGCCAAGGGGAAGTCAATCCAGAAGTTCGTGCAGGGCTGGCTCAGCGCAGTCGCGACGGCCAGAAAGGAGCTGGGCATCAAGGGCTTTTGTGTGATCGGCGGCAAGAGCGCTCAGGGGAAGGCGCTCTATGCCAAGGCCAAGGCGATTTATGCGGCGTGAGGCTTCCAAGGGGGCAGGCCTGCTTTCGTGGTCGTTCATGGAGCAGGCAACCCGTGAACCTCAGCCGACAGGGTGATGTACAGGTGCCTCTGCCTTTGAAAAATCGCAGAGGCCCAATATGTCATTGCGATGCAATGTTCAGTGCAGGCAGTGAGAAATGGTCCTTAGGGCGAAGGGGCCAGCACTGTGTAGCCTGTGCTCGCTTCCGCGCGCTCCACCTCTTTGTATTTTTGATCTTGCACCCCCTCAGCCCTAGCCCCTAAACCTTCGGGGCTTCAATTCGCAAGAACTCCGAGCCTTGACACCCTAAACCCCAAATCTCCATGAACCGACGAGCCCTGACTGGAAACCCTTAAGACTGATGTCCGGGAATGGAAAACACATGGAAGCCTTAGAGTTAAAGTGACTGACTGCAGGCGCAGCTCCAGGCATCGGCTGACAAGGTCACGGCCGTGGAGGAAGGAGCGCTGCCCTCTGGAAGTTTTTTCAGGGGCCAGAGCTGACGGGACCAGGCCCCTGAATGTTAAACATCTGTGAGCCTACGCCCTAAGTCCTAAAAATCCTAAGCCCTCAGCCTTATGCCGAGGTTCAGAAGCTGGCGTCCACCATGCAGCGCTTCTCAGATGAGAGCCTCACACAGCTAAGCAGCCCCGAGGCAGGCAGGGTTTAGGCTTCCGGGTTCAGGGTTTTATTGGGGTCTTGAGGGTTCATGGAGTTCAGGGTTTATGGGGTTCAGGGTTTATGGGGTTGAGGGGTTTTGGCGTTGGGTGGGGAGCCCCCAAGGACTAGGGTTTGGGGGTTGATGGGATTAGGGCTTGTATCAGGGTTGGCTTATGGAGTGTTATTTGGGGTTTACAGGGTCTATGTGGTCCGAGATGTTGGGGCTTAGGTTTGGGGATTATGGGTTTGTGGCTTTACGGTGGGGCTTATTGGGGTTCCCTTTGAATCGCCCTCGTGCCAAGCGCCATCTCAGAGGAGCAACTCAGAGACTTGACGTTCAAAGGAAGCTCTGATTTTTTTTGTCGGCCTAAAGACAACATATGGCTCAGTAGAGTTTTAGATCCTTGCAATTGAGGCGGAAAGCTGCTATTGTTCCCCTACGTATGCCTCCCCGTTCTGTATGACCCCCATGAACCTCCCAGAGAGGGGGGGAAGTTTGACCGGGAGGCCCGAGCGGTCGTCGACGAGATTAGCCAGGAAGAGAAGCGCGCCGAGGCAAGAAAGACAGTCCAAGTCTGTTAACGTAGGGGGTGGAAGAAGTACCCCTTAGGGTCCCCTTGTAAATGTACTATAATAACCCCCAAAACCCCGTTCTAATTATTCAGGCCCGATGTTATCCTAAGCCCTGAACCCGAAGCCTTTCAAATCCTGAATCTTGAGACCCTGGGGCTGTGGGCCCTGAAGCCTCAACCGCCCCCTCCCTCCCGTTGTCGGCGAGGACGAAGACACAGCGCGCATGTCCTTTGTGCCCTGAGGGCTGTACCCGACGCCTTGTCACACATACAGACTGAACCGCCTAAGCTACCTGAACCACCTGAGCCCGAAATAAATCCAGCATGCATGGAACCGCCCGAAAGGCCGTGATCCCGCAACCGCGTAAAGCCCGAAGCCCCAACCAACCCCCGACCTCAAGTTAGAAGTCTCAGACGGCGCTCAACGACTGCAAGAAGTTCCTGAGCCAGCGGCTGACGGAGGCAAAAGCCTTGGCAGAGGCCGGTTTAGAGTTTGACTCTGGCTTCGGCTTCCTTACAAGTTCCTGAGTAAAGAGGGGGCTTTTCATAAGGCCCCTATGTAACCCATTGAAGGGTTGTGTCATTGAATGGCTTCTGATGCGATAAGCTGCATTCGATGCGGAGTCTACGAGCAGGCCCAGCGCCGACCCTTCCTTGAGGATCTGTCCAAGATCCAGCCGCGCGCCTGGTCGCATCACCTGACCCTGAACCCGAATGAGGCTCGGACGAGGAACTACCAGGAACCTGAAACCCCCAAATTCCAAACCCGCCATCCGAAATGGAGCCCGCGAGGCTCCTCAACCCAAGGCCCCCCCCCCCCCCACATAAACTCAGGGAGGGTGGCAGCGCAGACAGGACTTGGCCTGGTTGTGCGGCGTTTGCAGCATTCAGCCCTGTATGTACTAGCGAGCTGCCCATCGCGGCTAGTACCGTGTTACCTTGCCTCTAGCCTCTAGCCTCTAGCCATGGCGTACACAGGAACCTTGAAGAAGTTCATGGATGGAAAGGGCTTCGGCTTCATCGAGAACTCTGATGGTTCTGGCGATGTTTTTGTGCACTTCTCACAGCTGACCAATGGTGGCTCCGACGACATGATTGTCGGGACAGAGATGACCTTCGACATCGAGGAAGATGCGCGAAGCGGCAAAACCAAGGCCACCAACGTGACTCTGATGGGCGGCGGCAGTGGTGGCGGTGGTGGCGGTGGTGGCTATGACTCCGGATACTCCAGCAAGGGCAAGGGCAAGGGCAAGGGCAAGCGCTATGACCCGTACTGAGCGTGCCCGCACGTGACTTTGCTGCCCGCGACCTCAGCATCTTATGAGCCGGGTAACCAATCTTCTCAAGCGCGCTTCAGTTGAG